CTTACTCGTCCTTAATTAACTCAGTAGGTCTAACATGCAAACAAACTTTCTACAATAACACTGAGCTGTAGATAAGACTTCTGTTGTCATGGCGATTCGGACAGTCTCAGTGGCCAAACCAACCAGGATTCTGTAAATGCAGTCTCATATGTCTGGCAGTACATGTTTTCGGATCATAAAATGTCAGTAATCTCAACGCCTCGACGAAAACATTCTGCCCTGCCGAACCCTTTGACTCAGACAATGTCGTTTCTCGTCGGTTTAAGTGTCGCGGTCATCAGTTCGCGTCATCTGCCCTGCCCATTGGTTGTCCAGCAGGAGAACCGTTGTCTAACTGTGTTTTGGAAATTGCTAATTTGGCAGCAGGGAGAAACTTTAGACAATTCATTCGTTGTCAGGGCACCCAATATTATGGCAAGATTGTTTATGCTAGCCAAATTGAGTCATTCCCCTGAAGTGTCTTTGTGATTAGCTCACCGACAGGGTAGAGGCAATCATAATTTGTGTGGGCGTCGAGCGTGATTTGGTCACTCATCTGCAGTCCACTCTACAAGGTATGAGTCTGCATTGAGTCCGACGAAGGGTTCAGCCGATCCATGCCCACTTCATGGGAGGAGTCGAACATTGCGCTCTGGCTCCATTAGTGGGATCAAGCTCTAGGCATCCGCCCTCTCCTCTACCACGGAATGGGATTTCGACCTTGCCTGTGGGCACCTTCGGCGTGATTCGAACCCAAGACAAAATCTTTATGCTCCGTTGGATCGAGGCTACTGGGCTTATTTTCACTTTCTTCGATGCCATCTGGACGTGGCAGGAACTCAACATCTAGACGAAGCCTGGAATTAGACAAAATGCGGATGATAGATAAGACAAAAGATAGAATATAAGGTATAGATAGATAACATAATCAAGATATATAAGACATGAGGAAAAACTGAACTTTGAAGGGTTATCTAGTAGAACTATCGCACCTAACTCTACTCCTTAGCACTTCATACACACGCACAACACATGTGCACACTATATGAGTAGACTTTATATATTAATTGAATTTTAAACAGCCTTGCTTTTCCCAAAAGTTATCCTTATCCAGAATGGACTGGAGTTTTGACCTTGTCTGGGTCTTATCAACATCCATATCGAAGCTCGAACAATGACAGTACAGTGTATATTCTCGACACGTTAACCACTGCGCCGCATTGTCACTTATCACACTCCGTAGTGAGATTGAAGACCTACTTATAAGCGAAAATCAAATAC